TTCGCCCTCCACCTGAGATCTCGGAAAGTTACCGACCGATTTTAAACATTCAAAGAGCGTTCGATAGCCCCACCAGGGAACTACCTTGTTACCAGGTTTCGTTGACCTAGGTGCAACCCATGACGTCACAAGTCAGGTCAAAGGTCGCATTTTTTCACCGATTTAGTCTAAGGAATGCGTTACAGTCAGTTAACACATCAAATAAAAGACATGTTATCGAAAAACATCGATGAAGCGTTGGTTGTCTAATACATATGTTGCCTAAAGAGGTCATTGATGCCAGGTCAGTTCACAGAGGTCAGGTCACTAAGGGTCACAATATGAACCCAACTATGCTAGGGTCGTGTGATACATGTTTTATGGCCAATTTTACATTTAAAATTCAATGGTGTGAGCTAGACAGCCATTGGGGCCAGTTTAGATTAATTCTGGCGGAGGTCAGGTCAAGGTCAGGTCAAAGAAGGTCAAATTTCAAAGTTGATATTTTACATAAAAGGGGCATCTATTTGATGCAGCTCATCACAGGAAATCTAATGGTGGCCTTTGGCTTGCATTGTGTGTTCTGTGACGGCTAAAAATTGAATTTGAAAATTTTACGTAATAAATTTTGAGTAGTTTTTTTGCCATAACTTTGCTAAAAATGGAGCTATCGAGTTTAAGTTTGGCATATCTAGAGCAGATAGTTCTATAACATATATTTCAGTTTTAATTTTGAAAGTTGTTGGCATTTTCGGGGTGTTATACTTCTATAGTTTTGATGGTCAAATCAATTTTTGTTTGGAAATAAGAGTCAGCAGTTTGGTAGCGCTGTTTATTTTACATCTTTTTGATCTTGAATATTTTTCGTTATCTTCAAAACTGTAAGCGTGACAGCTCTTTCCGCTAAACCTTTTATTGGGTCGAAAATGACAGAACATGGCATCACTCTGACGTCATTTGTGAGTTGTGACTAACCTTTCATAAGAGCTGTGGAAAAATTTGGTCACAAGGTGTAAAAATGATGCCCGGCCGGGGTCTTGAAAGTTTGGTGGCGAAATTTGCTATACTTTAGGAGATATCGACTGAAAAGGAGAGAGGGGCCGTTTCGCGCCGCCCTCCCCCTCAACGGGGCTTTCAGTTGCTGCTCTCACAGAACTCTTGGTTATATTACAACGTAGTGGAATTGCAAGTGGCAATATAAGCTTCCTGCCAGCGCCGGACCAGAGTTTAAACATGCAGGCTGAATTTTAACATTTAACTTTTGAATTTTTAAACCGTTGAGCTTTTTAGAAGTTGTATGAACTGTTCAGCTCCTTTTTTGGTCCATCACAGCGGGCTTGTATGTCATTTTGTCAACCAAAATCGAATTAACAACTTTTTATTTGGTCTGGCTACCTCGCCAACGTCTTAACTGGATCGTTTATTAGCTTTTGATTGGGATCTGCCCACGTTGTCTGTCTAGCTTTTCGTGTCATAGACACTGTCTATGACACGAGAAGAGGCTGCTGACATCGTTTGTCGCGGTTGGATAATACCAATCCACGTCCCAGTGGCTGCTCGATCGCACTTTCCCTGGCCCACCTCTCCCACCAGGCGAGACTTTGCCCGGCACAGCCGTCGCCTCAGTGCCTCGGGCGGTGACCCGTTCAAAGGGGCTCACAATTCGTATGGTGCCGTGGCTCTCAAACCAATACAGAACAGTGAAACGCAAAGGCTCACTTTCCATATAAGGCGAACGGCTGATCCTGGCGCCGGGGCTTCATTCATGCTAAGGCGCCCAATCACAGCGCCGCATTTCAGTTAGTGTCGGGCGCAAAAGCTACTATGCTCCGCCCCTCCATCACGTGACCCTGCCCTCACGTGGCCTCAGTCACGTGGTGTTTCCACTTCTTGGCGCATGGCGGCGCTAGTCTCGCAGGGGCGGTGGTAGCTTGCTCCCCCGCTGTCCGGGGGTGATGGGTAGCAACTGCTGGTGACTGTACACAATCCCGCACCACCCACTTTCATACCAATGTTTTCTGAAGTGTGGCACCATCCTGCACATCCTTTCATGCATTTTCATTTTGTCAACTTACTGGAGGTCCATCATGATGAGCTATGACTATTATGAGCTGTCTTAGCCTTTTTCTGAAACCAAAAAGACTTTCAATATAGATGTGCTCTTCAATGTTGTCCAAGACCTCAATTGTTTACTTGCTTTCTGACAGTTAATCACACTTCTTTTACAGCACACAAGTAAAATAATGGCTTGTGCCATGATTATTTCCAATTCTACATACAAAACTTTTAAGAATCAAGTAAATTAAGCCTAAAACAAGCACAAATAATGCTTGATAGGAGCTGCGCCAGACATGTAAAAATGCGCAAAATATCCGTATTTTTCGGGCTGCCGGCGTAAAGGGAATTATCCGTTCCGGAACGGATTTTTCCGATAAGGCTCATGTAAACGGGGCCACCGAAACGCATTTTTCCGTTCCCTGGCTAATCGGATATTTCCGTTTAGGCTGAATGACTCATGTAAACGGGGTAAATTACCTAAAGTACAGGGTGATTTTTTTTTACTTGTTAAAAAGTAATGAGGTTTAGTGGCGTTAAAATGCAAATATATATGGTAAAATTATATACCAGCATGACGAGCATTCTGGGACATTTTGATTTCATGCAGACAAGATGTGAAGGAACGTCCATCGTGTATTTTACTTGTGCTTAAAGTTACCCCCTCTCTCATCGACACGAATCAGCCCGCCTGAGCACGTGTTAAACAGTACCATGGACTCCCATGCTCATTAGGCGGACTGAAAAGGCTCCTATCACCCATTTTCAGCTCTGCCAGATATTTCCAATGTTTTCTTGTTATATCTGCCATACCTGGGTCCAAAAACTAGAAGTCTAGAAAAGGCAGGTCGAGGATTTTGCTACTGGCGGCCCTGGTGGTGTCTGATTCGCTGTTTTTTGTTTCTCCCTGAAGACTGATTCTTCAGAGGTTGCACATACGCCAGATGGACCGTTTGAAGGTCATTTATGACTACAAGCTTGTTCCTGCATTATTTAACGTCTTTCTGAGGTATCTCCTTGATGATCGTATGCTTCGAACTGCCTCAATGCTTCAAAATCATCGTTTTGTGTCGTTCCTTACTGAACGGCGGTGGACCATGCGTGCCCGATTGGTGGGACATTTTCAGGCTCCATTGGGGCCGAGGCCTTCGGTTAAAATGGACAAATCATGACACCATACAAAATGTCCCAGATTTATCTATCACGTGCATTGCTTTTTTGCACAAGATTTTTCGATTTAGGGACCACCATTGACGTTTACTTTTTAACAGTTAAAAAAATCACCCTGTAATTGTGAGAAGTTATAGTTTGCGCTTTAACCCGCGTCGGCCCGGTGTTCGGACTACGGCACCAACGTCCAATCGCATCGGCCACGTAGCATTCGTTACGCGGTAAGAACAGAGAACGCCAAAAATCATGACAAAATACTTTGGTCATTTCCAGGTTGGGTCAAGGGTAAGGTCAACAGAGGTCATGAAAAATAAACTTTTGCCTTTCTCAATGTTTTTCGAAAAACTGGCACGTACCTACCTCGGGACGAAATAGAGCCGCAGCGCTGCGGAAAACTCTTAAGACAGCTCGACCCCCGCAATCAGGCGGTCGGTGCTTCTAATATATATTAATTAACGGTTGATGATTAATTAACGATGAACGGGCAGCTGGCACGAGTCGGGCCATCGGCCGCTGCGTGCTCCGACGCGCCAACAGCTTTGAGCTTTGTTCATGTCAGACACTGCCCAGGAGATTTGAAAATTTTCCACAGCGAGGACCGCACCTGAGACAGGAAATCTACTTTAGCATCGGGCAATCGGAGTTGAAGCTGTGTGGTGTCCTATTTATTTGGTGTGAATGGATCCGTTTTTTTTGCTGTCTGTCCGCCTTGTACCGGTGGTTTATTGATAGGTATATAAGTCGTGGTAAAAAGAGGATGAACCAAACATGAACCAGAAAGATAAAATATGAATTCAAATATCAACAGATCGTGCCACCGCAGGGTAACGATGGGTAAGCTAGTTAGAGGGGTAACAGTTCATTGCAAGTTAATGTTGTCGAAAATGGTGACAACTCCGGAACAGAACGTAAGGCCATTCAAAAATATACTTAACAATGTACAAAATCAGCCGAATCCGGCAGCCTAGGCGGTAGCATTTGCAAATTGCGTCTAATGGCAACAATGTACGTACATTGTACAATACGTGCCCGGGTGGCCACGTCGTCCACTCTCGAACAGGAGACGACACGACACAGACAGAAACGCGCCGAGCTTCCTGCACGGGAAGTTCGACAGCTGGCCCTGGCGACGGGCCGCACGCGCAGCTCGACATCGTCGGTGGGCAATTCAGCTCGCGGCCTCCCCTCCCCCGCCCCTCTCCTCCCCTAGAGGGGGGAGGGGAGGGAGAGGAGGCGCGCCGACCGTGCCGCCCGCCGCCCGGGCCCCCAACGGCACCACACAACTCGTCTATTAAATTGATTCACAATGAATCCGAGAAAAGCGTCCACAGTCTAGGCGGTAGCGTTTGTAAATTGCATCTAATGGCCAACGAGACGCTGCACATTGACTCGCGATCTATACCGGCGGACCCGGAGAAACTTTCCATTTCCAGAGACGAGGGGCTGGCGGCGAGACAGGCGATATTTTATGTCCAACTGTGATAATTAAACGCGAGGAGCGCCCGCGACTGGCCCACTTAACGACTGTGCTTCTGAGGGAAGGAAGGGACACTTAAAGTAATTGGGAGGAAAGTTACCGTTTGAGCTTTAATGACCTTAACACTTATCCTGCTCACTAATGCAGCGTTTTGAGGTGATAGCATTCACACTCAACACATTCAACATCACCTCTGTAGAAAAAGGGAAAACTGCGCGTCTCAGGACCACAGGCGAGCTTCAAACCACACACCTCTTCTAAGTCGGTCAGGACCACCTTGGCTCCGTGCCAAACGGGGAGTCGGGTCAATTCCACTTACCTTAGATGAGTCGCTCTGATCCGAATGATTTCCTCCTTAGTAAGTTCACGCTGCCCATCACCACCGCTAAAACCAGCCATGATCGAATGGACGAGCCCCATAATCGCAGCGATCCGATGCACGACTTTTCATCGACACCGTCGGCGCTACAGTGGCTAGCCGACTAGCAGCTACTGAGCGGCCGCCCTGGCGAGCGACCCGGCCAGGGGGCGCTGCAAGCGACAGAAGATCGTCGGAGTGCTATAAGGACACTCTGGTCGGTGCGAGCCCCCCGATCCAGTAGCGGCGGAACACCTTCAATCAAGGAGGGGGGGGGGGCACTGCCCACTTTTGGTCCCACTTTTTCCATGCAACGCCCATTGCGCTAATGTTAAAATGACGAAATCAGGGGGGCACGGTGCCCCGGTGCCCCCCCCCCCCCGTTCCGCCGCCTATGCCCCGAACAGCTGATAATCGTACGCACGCGAGACCGGCATGTGTGACGTCACATGACACGGCAACTGACTATCCCCGGGTCCAACGGCAATTTGTTGGTCAGCGCCATCCACCAGTTGCTTGTTTTATTGATTATTTTACGACAGAGCGGTCTTGTTATTGGCGTCAAGCCAATTAAGCGGCCAATTGGCGGTGATAGAGAGAGAGAGAGAGTGAGAGAGAGAGAGAGAGAGAGTGAGAGAGAGAGAGAGAGAGAGAGAGAGAGAGAGAGAGAGAGAGAGAGAGAGAGAGAGAGATAGAGAGAGAGAGAGAGAGAGTTAGGGGAGATGGGGAGAGGAGGAAGACTACCACCCACGAGCCATCGCGCTGCCCTTCTTTGTCCGTGCGCCGCCCCAACTGTCGGGGATCAATCTGGGAGCCGGTTACTCGTCAACGGCAGCCAGACAACGGTCGTCTGTTTTGCATCACCTGCGCGTCCGCTGGCCGGCCCTGCTGGCTGCCGCCGGTACACAGCGTTATCGTATGCCACGTATGACCGGCAGCGGCCTCGGACAGCGCGGCCGTCACCGGCGGCCGGCGGTCGACACAGAGTTTAGACAGTCGGCAGGGCAGAGTAGACCGTTTCTGGCAGGCCTAGCGCGGCGGCCGCCGTTACCGACACTGTCGAGCTATGAACCAGCCGCCACCAAACGTCATCCCCCAACCCACCACTGTCAGAGCCACCCAGCGCCGGATGCGCGGCAGAACGAGAAGTAGTGCGCGGCGCCCAGCGAGCGACCGGCGTGAATAATGGCGGCGCATCCGCACTGCCGGTGCGCCGCCGTCCGGTACGCCGCCATTATTCATATTGGGCCGGCGGCCGGCCGGGCAGCGGCACCTTCAGCTCCGGCTCCAGTCGTTCGATGAGGCCCACCGCGCGGCGCCAACACCTTGCACCTGGTTCCGGTGCGCCGATCGAACACAACCTTACCAGGGAGACGAACAGCAGTAGCGGCCGAACACCTTCCATTAAAGGGACCCTCCCACCTTCAAAAAAGTTAATGAATTGGCATGAAAGTGATGTCGCTCGGTTCAGAAAGAGCAAAAACGAATATCTACCAAATTTCATCGAAAAATATTCACCGGTTTTCAAGATATTAGACTTTTACTTTTGTTTACTTTTTGGGATCTCCGCTGTTCCTAGCGACTTTATTTGAAAGTGCGGCATTTATTGCGCGCAAAGCAGCATATACCACCGCGTGCTACAAAACGTTTTAGTCAAACATTTAACGGACTTTCGAAAGCCTGATGACGTCATCAGACTCCCGTAATGGTTAAGAGATAGGGACCACGCTGGTCCCACCCTGCAAGTAAAGGGAAGAAATTTCTTGAACACCATAAAGCTGCGGGGGTTGCGACCAGGATAAATGGTGGTTTCTGAGCCTGGCCGCAAACTTGGCTATCTCAACTCAAAACTAATGTTAAGGTGGGAGGGTCCCTTTAAGGGGGGGGGGCACTGCCGACTTTTGGTCCCATTCTTTCCATGCAACGCCCATAGGGCTAATGTTAAAATACCAAAATCAAAGGGGGGCATGGTGCCCCGGTGCCCTCCTCGTTCCGCCGCCTATGCTAGACGGTATACCGGACCAGCGCTGCATCATGGTGCTCCGAGCCCCACCTGCAGCCACCGAGGCCCTGCGGGTCGGCGTCTCGGGAGTGCCAGATGCAAGTCAGGTACGGTGTCCAGTCCACGTGGCGCGACACGCCGCCGCACGTGAGACACGTGTACAGTAGGTCTATTAAAAAAGTCCCCAGCACCAGTGGGCGCTGCCTTCGCTGAGCCGAACCCCCGTCTGCCTGTCCCATATCGCGCCGGGCTCAGGTCAGGTAGGGTCAGCGGGACCGCTCGGTCCGGCCCGCGGGCGGTGGACGGGCGGCCGGTAACGCTTTCCACCAGCCAGCTGTAGAATCCAACAAACGGGACGGCCACCGCTCAGCGCAGCGAAACCGGTGTTAAAGAATGGCAGTAGATGTTCATGGCCACAATGATTATGATATAGTCATTGTTAGCCCGTGCCCCATAGGAATGCCTAGACTCTCACGCCCTGTTGGAGGGGAAATGGGGATTGAGCATCATTCTTATAACTCAGCCTGGGGCATTTAAGTGATATTCGAAGTAGCGTCAAAAGTAGCAAAAAGAAGAAAAAAAAAATACTTCAGCCAATTTTGGATCGGGTCATAACCAGAGGTCATTTCAATAGAGGTCATCGATGGTAAAATTTTGCTTAGACAGGGTGCGTTGCGCGCACCGGTGCACTGGGTTTCCAATTTCCATGGAAACATCAACAGACTCGGAAGCTCGCAACAAGGGCGCGGGAACTACTTTCCGACTGGGGGCACACCATGATAGAGATCAACCTAGGGTCCCCCCAAATCTAGTTTTCTCACCGGTTTTAGGCCACTTATTTTTCATTCCTCGGCTTTTTCAATAAAAAAGAAAACATTTGCAAAAAAGTGTGGTATTCCGTCTCAAAGCTGTAGGGGCACCGCCCCTACGGCCCCAGAGTTGGGGGGGGGGGGGCAAGCTACCCCCACTGCCCCCCCCCCCCCCGGCTCCCGCGCCTATGGCTCGCAACGCTAGCGTGGAGCCGAATTCATATCAACCGCCGCAACAATGCAGCAGCGCAGCGCAGCGTGCTGCAGCGCGGGGCCGTGAAACACCGCCCAGGGCTATCCATGTGTCAGGGTAATCCAACCCACGGGATGGGCTCGGCCCCAGCTGAGCATGAGGTCCAGGACTCCCGCCCAGGCCCCCTGTCTCCCCCTAATTCCTATCATCCTTCCCACTCTGAAATCGACCGAAAGAGCCTAACCTAACACAACAATTAGCTTGTTTACCGCTATGTCTGAAATCTGAATAATATTGTCAGATTTAATTAGGGTCAACGGCTTAGCATGTAAATTACAACTGCCACCATCGGTATTATGAGAAAACCAATTGCTTTTCCACAAACATTTAAAAGTTTTTAGCTTAAAACTTGCATGAAATTAATTTTACCAGCCTCGTGTTCCTCTTATCAAAACGCTTCGAATGAATCAAAAGTTGATCTTTAAAGGTCATTTGAAAAATCTGGCCTATGTTCAAAGACATGACCTGACCAGAAATGGTCATAATGCATAGCAGGATATTAGATCCGTATCGTGGAACTTCGCAAACACTTCAGATGATTTCATAACTTAAGCATGTCTATCAAAAATAATTATTACATGGCTCATATGTAAGCTGGATGTGTGAACATGCTTACGAGTATGTCGAACGCAACTGATAATGTTCTGTTGGCCACAATTTCTATATTTTATTTATCCTCCCGAATTTCATATTTTTGTTAATGACACCTTGACGATGTCGAGAAAAAAACGCTAAGGAGATTTAACAGCCTGAGATACATTCAGTATAAGGAAGGTTCAAGGGTGCTAGATTCCTTCCGTCCTAGCCATGGGTGGAGAACCTGCCCCGGCCACCCCGGCCGTGGCCGGGGTAACTTTCAGCCGACCCCGGCGCGGCCGGGGCAGCTTTTTCCACTTTTGTAAATCCTAAAAGCTGTCTCCATACAAAAAAAAAAACTGCCATCTATAAAAGCGTCTCTCATTATTCTTATCTACCTTGAAAAGTTCTTGAAAATTTACTTTATTTTCATTTTGGAGCTTCTATGTTTTTAAGCCTTTTCATCGCGGAGCCAGACATGTTTCATCAAACAGATTACAGAAGTAAATCATATTTAAGGGCCGTTATCGTAAGATGGCACTGTAATAACATCACAAGACAGGACGAGGGTAATATCAGTGAGATAGAAGGACGAGCTGCTGGGGCTCAAGGCTCCCCCAACTTAACCCGCGCCAGGGTGGTGGCCTAATCGTAACACGTTGAGTCGAGAGGTGGGCTTTTCGCACTCCTTCTAACTCGGCTATTGCGGATACGAGGCGAGAAGCGGAACGACGTTTGAAAGAGCGACAAACGTGATCAGAGAAATCTGGCCATGTTTTAGGCAAGCTCAATAATAAAATCACCATAGATCATCAAAAGCCAAATTTCTCTGATTTTAGCGTTCTCCGACAACTTTTCTCACAGTTCATGAACATAACGGAGCTTAAACACTGCAAACAAAACAGTCGACTACTCGTTTAAGGCTCGGTCGCGAATAATGTTTCATGTGCGAGCTCAAACCAATAAGAGGGTCAAAACGGTCAAATTTGACGTTTTGTTTTGTGTGAGAAGGTTGCAACTTCCACGGAATAAGCTTTGCAAAGGGCATGATGGCATTTTTAGCACGATCATCCAGCAAATTTGACCTGATGACCTGACCTAGCACTAGGTGACATGCGTCCGAAACTTTAAGGCGTGTTTCAAAATTGTTGTTACAATTACGAAATCTTCCGCACCTGCGTGCAGCAGTTTTCCCTAAAAACGCACAAACGGCAGACATCCATTATTCTATGCCACAGAATAGGGGTTTGTTGATAACCGTTAACAAATATTTGCCAGCATCATCGTCTTTCTGACTTTCGGTCGCCGGCCGGGGTAACTTTTTCAAACATTCTCCACCCGTGGTCCTAGCTATCCTCAGGAAAAACCAATCCGCATCGCCCCTAGTCTTCATGCTTCCCTCTCTGAACTGGAGGTCACCCCACCAGCCAACCTGTAGTTGATGTCGGATCCATTCCAGGACACATAATCCTCTTCGGGTGACCGTTTGGGAGACGGCTGGACCGTCCCGACAGTGCAATCGTCCCACTGGAACAGTCTCG